AAAGTAAGAGACACTTAGGGTAAGAAAGATTGATCGTGTATTATGCTCTTAAATCGATGGTGGAAAAGATGTGAGAGTAGTTTTCTCGCTAGTTAATAGACATAAAGTTGAATGATATCATTTCGAAGAAAATAATCTCAGAAACTATTAAGCTGATGTGGCCTCATATGATGACAATTTCTTGAACTATTTTCTTTCTGTTAAGAATATAGTGAAAGATACTTTGGTAGTATCATATTTTATAAATAATCAAAACAAAATACTTTTATATGTCATCGCAAGACATTACGTTGATGGATGAGACAGCATCTTCATCCTTTTTGCAGTCGATTGAAAAGTTTATCTATATTTTTAGAATGTCTCATAAAAATTCGGTCCAATCCATGGCCACAAATGTATATAGTATAGAATCAATCTGTGTGATTATTAACCTGCAAACATATAACCTCGATATCTTTTATTTGTGTGTCTGTTGCCTTTAACATCAACACTTGAATCGTTCTTATTGAACAAAAAAAATCGAGTTGCAAAAAAATTACAGAATAAGAAAAAAATTGGATTTTGTTTTATGTTCATTTTATATCGATATACTTGTCGCCTCTCTGAATTAAATTAATAACGTGGTCGTCCATAAGAAAGCGTACTGTCCAATGCTTTTTTGTAGAATTTCAGATAGTCGTTGTGGTATTCTGTAATACGTTCAAGATCGGTACAATAGCTAGGGTCGGGTTTATGGTCGATTAGATGAATAATCTTCATGATGATATCAGTCAATGATGTTGTTGGCATATGCATGTTGTCCTTTGAAAAACCCCAACAGCAGCAGTGTCTGCCACTGTCATCAACATATGGATTATAGATAGGATCCAGAAAGATTACTTCAGGTACCTCGAATGGGTATTTTGGTGATAGTTTGATTTCAACCATAAATGAAGCGCTACAGTAGGGTTCAGTTTGTAGTAAAATACGACCTCGAATAACAGTGGTATCTTTTTCATTAGAGCGTTGATATTCTTTCGTATTATTAAAGCGGGACGGTGGCTGATTATTGCCGAAAGGTGCCACAGGATTGAAATCAAGTATAAACTTGTTTTCTGCTTCTAATTTTTCGAGCTTTTGTAGCTCAGAAAAGATACGTTTCTGCCTAGGCATGTGACCTAAAATATTCGTCACAAATTTCTTTACTAATCACGAATGAGTTTCACCGAGACTAAATCAATCTCCTATATTAAGGGAAATACATAGACTAATATTTTATAAGTCTTATTTACTCCATGCCCAAAATAATGGTTTGTCGCACAATACATGAGCCACTTTTGCGCTTCAACTGTGGAGCGTTTAATAAGAAAACAAAATATACCACAAGATGCAGCGCGAAACGCTCCACAAGCCAGACGTCAAAGTGTATTTCAGTTATATGGTTTTTAACTAAAAAAAGGCAAAATTCTATACAACCAATTTTCGCTGTCGTAAAAAAATCGCGTTTTTCTATACGAAAGAAGAATTCGTTTTTTTTCGATCTTTCGTAGCACCTAATACGTTTTATTAAGAAAAAGCAAAATATATCACAAGATGTAGCGTCAAAAGTTCTACAATTTGGAAGGCAAAAGTTGTTTTTGTTGTGTACTTTTCGTTTTCAAAAAGAAGCAAAACTTTGCGCGATCAGTTTTTGCAATGGCAAAAGGCAAGCGTGCATAGTTTTACTTTTGTTTTTAAATAAATATTACATAATTGAAATACGCTTTACTGTCTAGATTGTAGAACTTTTCACGCTGCATCTTGTGGTATATTTTGTTTTTTTAACAGAATGCATTAAGTTTTGCAAAAGTGAAGCGCAAAACTGGCCTATTTACAGATATTTTATGCCAAACATTGCTTTTTGGAAATGGGAGAAAAGATTCATATAATGTTAATCTATGTATCTCCCTTATTATAAGAGATAGAGACATGAAACTTTGACGTAACCTTCGCCTACTTACTAGGGACAAGATACCAAAGTTTGAGCATTGGTGAGTTTACTATAAAGGAGAACGAGCAATTTTTCTAAGAATGACCAAGATATTTGGCTCACCCTTTACCTGTTGGTGGATCACCCATTGAAGTTTGGTAAGTTGTTAATCGACGTAGATGAAGACAAACGGAACGAAATTGTTCACAATCATGTTTTGTTTTCATATTCAAGTTAAGCGTGTGAAGAGCAGGTGATCCTATCCATGTGTCACTGAAAGCTACAGCTCCTACATCGAACGTGGTGCATATTCGAAGTCGAGGAAAGTCATTGGAAAATATCGCTTGAAACAGATTACTTATTGTTTGCGTATTTTCATTCATAGTCGTATGAAGCCCTATAATAGAGAGGAAATTAAAAGCTTGGCACCCGATTTGATAGCTTTTAGTCTAGCTGCGATATCTCGCTATATATAAACCTCAGTTTGATGATGTTTGAAAATCTCAGCAGTGTCCGAATTCCGTGAATTCGGAACTCTTAAGGAACTCTGAACTCAGAAATCAGTTAAAACGAATGCCCACTGAGTAATCGCCCCACACAACGGAATAAACAAACTCAGGGAACTCAAGGAACACAAGGTATCCAAGGAATTCACAGAACCCAAGGAACTCGAGGAACCCAAGGAATCCAAGGAATTCAAGGAACTCGAGGAACCCATGGAACCCAAGGAACCCATGGAACTCAAGGAACCCAAGGAAGCCAAGGAACTGAAGGAGTCCCAGGAATTCAAGAAATTCAGGGAACTCACGGAACCCAAGGAACTGAAGGAGCCCAAGGAATTCAAGGAATTCAAGAAACTCACGGAATCCAAGGAACTCAAGGAACCCATGAGGGTGTGGGTGGGTGTGGGTGCAAGATGTCTGATACTCAGGGTGTAGGGTGTCTCAGGGTGTGGGTGTTCTAATCATTTAACATCCGCAGAGCCTCCGCATGACACTGACAGCTGACTTTTTGGATTCCTTGAGATCTACTAGTTCGTAGGACTCCGTGAGTTCCTTGGATTCCGGGAGTTCCTTGGGTTCCGTGAATTCCTTGGGTTCCGTGAGTTCCTTGGATTCCGGGAGTTCCTTGGGTTCCGTGAATTCCTTGGGTTCCGTGAGTTCCTTGGATTCCGGGAGTTCATTGGGTTCCGTGAATTCCTTGGATTCCGTGAGTTTCTTGGATTCCGTGAGTTCATTGGGTTCCGTGAATTCCTTGGGTTCCTTTCGTTTGTTTATTCCGTTGTGTCTGGCGATTACTCAGGGGGCATTCGTTTTAATTGATTTCTGAGTTCAGAGTTCCTCAAGAGTTCGGAATTCACGGAATTCGGACACATCTCAATTTCCATCGACATTTCATTCAAACATTCATCTATCAGAGACTATTGTCACTGTTTACCTTTGATGTGAAGAATTTCAAGCATAGGAAAATATTGTGGACGGATGCTATTAAATTGTTCTTGTGTGCCATATTTCAATGTAAGTGAACGCAAATTGATTAATGCTGTAAAATCAGCTATTTCGACGTTAACGATAATCAAACGAATAATTTGAGTAGGAAAGAAGTGTAGAGAGTTTATAGCCTCGGCATCACTATACCTCACTACATGACTTGCGCCTATTACAGATTGAATAACTGAGTCAATATAAGAATTGAGACCAGAAAAAGCTGTAACAATTTCTTGGAGTGGAAGTAAACCAAAAACTTGTAGAAAGATTTCAGTCGGTAAATGTTCGAGTGAAGTTGAAAATGTGTTATCATTGCTCATGATTGCGAAAGTAATATAAATGTGTGATACCTTTGTTTTGTCTCTTTCTTTATATACTGATATGATATGTTCTATTGACATAAAGACATTTATGGGTAGTAATTACATCACATTATGTTGGTTATTCCCGTGATGACTGACTACTTAATTAGATATTTTATATCTTGGTTATTTCGAATAAAAAGAGGAAAAATAAAGTATACTACAATAATATGATTAGCGACAGTATGGTTCAAATGGTTCTCCTTCCGGATCTTGCTCATATATTGAACAATAACAGCTACACCGTGTTTGCTCAACATCAGTACATTTTACGTCGCACCCAGAACAGAGATACACTGTTTTCATATCGCGTGTCGTGTCATATAATGTTGAATAATCGATACATTCATTGTTAATCGTAGAACAACCGACATGCACCCATTCACCTACGGTATCATTATCTAACAAAAAGACGGAAAAAGAAATTTTCAGTATGAAAAATACCTAGTATAACTAACTTATATATGGTATTTCAGGATTGTTAGAAACCAGTCTACCGTATTGATGACGAGCAACAACACGAAAGCTACATGTCGTACGATTTCGTTCATAAGTAATAGGAACTTCTGAAGTTATTTCTATAACGTATTTTCCTTCGCTAAAAATACAACAAAAGTTTTCTCTATTTGTATCATATGACAATATCACGAAGTTTTACCTGTTAATTTTTTTTATTGCACAAGCTCCCATTTTTTTTTTCTCCGGCACTACATGACCGAGCTAGCTGCGAGTTAGACTCAATATCTGTTAGACATTGTCCGGAACCTTGTAATATCACACTTGGAGTAAATGAATATTTCTTCGTTTCAATCCAATTTTGATTTGTATTATTCGGACCCAATGTAGTTGTTGTATTTTTGATTGTTTCTCTCATCGAATATCCACATACAACTTGTGCTGCTAGTGACATATTAGCTCGTTGTTCTTGAATTTTTCGTGCTTGTTCTTGACGGACATTATTTATTGCGGTAATACGACTTTCTATTGTTCTTTGTAAATTATTTCGTATATAGTTTCATTTGTAACTACATCGTACCATGGAATATATTTTGTGATAAATAATAAAGCTGGATTGTAGACAATGGTCTTTTTCCATTGATCAGTATTGTTGATCAAGAGAATATTACCACCGATACGATGATCTAGATGTTTCTTACGACGAAGCCAATAGAAATGATCAATACACGGTCGTCGAAATAATAATTATTGTCTTAGATTTCTTTCTAAAATAGACTGTGTGGTACCATCGGTGAAATTTGTGGTATTAATCATACAATTTTTGAAGATAACTTGTTGTTCTGTCATACCACCGACTTTATTCGATACAGTAATATGTGGTCCCCAAGCATCTATGAAACTATTGTACAACTCTTCGTCGTAGTTGACTGTCAATGCGTTAATAGCAGCTTGCGCATATTCATTCGGAACAAGAGATTTTGGATTATCTGCTGATTTCATTGATAAAGTGTACAGTACTTTGAAATCTTGTGAAATGGCTGTTGCTTGACCATTTTTTAAAAATTTTTCATAAACATCCGATATATCTTTTGTTCGAGCTAGTTCTCCACCAGACCATTGACCTGTTTCGTAACCACGTAACCACACTTTTACCAAATCATTTTCCGTAGGAAAAATGTTTACGCTTACATTATTATCATCGATCTATGGTTCAGTTAGTGAAACTTCATCAGGCACCAGAAATGTCTGACCCGATTCTGGATCGGTCCAATGCTGGCAAGAGAATATCTCCTGTACCTATATGAATCGCCGTTCCGATGGCTCGTGGTAGAGGGAGTATTGATAAGGAACGTTGAAATGGTGATATTTGCGGTCCATTGGTTGAACTGAATGTCTTATTAGTAAAATTGGTGGTTTCATCACCTGGACAAAACATTCCATGATAGCCAATGATTGGACACAATTTCAGTCGTGCATTTTTTATATTAGATAAAAATGGATTCGTTTTAACATCACGTTTTCTTCGTCGGCGTCGTTCAGTGCATTTTAATTGTGGTAAAGGTGGTGGGTCGGTTTCCGATTCTAATCGTTGAATGTATAAGTTAGTTGAATTAGTTATAGCCGATCGAAAGTAAAATGTTGCTTCTTTTAAGGCATCACGTTGTGCCCCTTGTGGTAAAAGGTTGTAGATCGGTTGTAATCCATATGTAACTGGACTTGGATTGTCTTTGACGGTTGGAAGCCAATTATAGCCAGTCAATGGAAATATTGAAGTCAATCCACCAATGATTTTAAAGATAGATAATGAATTTTGTTGATATTCTTTTTCTACCTCTTTATTGTAGGTTTCAGTGATTTCTCGAGATGTACCGAAAAACCAATAACGTTTGGTAATTTCTCGCCGGATCCATTTTTCTGTCATTTTTGTGATTAAACACGATTCAAAATAGTCTTCAGCCCATAGCATACCACCTATATCCGATCGAACAACGATATGAGTACCATAGGAATAAAAAAATAATTGAAATTTTTTGTAGTCTGCTGATTTCGGATCGAATGTGGTTGGTAAACGAGAGATAGCCAGACTAGCAATTCGATTTAGTTTCGGTGATGGAAATGTTACTACAGCTAAGTTAAACCAAATCACCTGTTGTTTTGTCCATGCCATTCGATATTTATGTTGATAAAACCGTTGATATCTAGTTCTCATTTCTACTTTATCAGCAGATACTCCAAATCCTAAGAAATCCGATGAATCATGTTGATCGGATATATAAGAATCTGTAACGAATTCTTTTAATGTATTGAAAAACACTGTATCATACATTGATAATAAATCTTTCCTTCCTGTCACAAAATATCCATCTGGAACTTTATATGTCGTAAAATTATCAAATACATCGATCCATGTTGTATTGTCATTCATTGTCATATCCAATAGACAAGATTTACTTTTTAATGAGAAAATATCATAACCACATCCAACAATATCTAAACCCGGCAAGACATTTTGATTACCAATTGCACGCTTTTTACGCTGACCAACATTTGACAAATCATCAATGGTTGGTACTTTACCATTTTTTAAGTAATAATCAATGGTTAACTCTAAATGTCGTCGTATTTCGATGGGATATTCAATCAAGAGATTAATCAATGGTGATATAGTTCGATTAACGACGACTGGCGATGATGACGCGCGATCCAACCAAATATCCCATTGTTTCTTCTCTGTCTCAGATGTTGTTATTACAGCTGGCGAGAATTTTACTTCCATCTGAGCGTTTTTCTTAAAATCTTCAGTATTTACACCAACTTCAAAACCTAAATTGGTGGATGCTGACATTTGAGCTTGTTGATATCCGAAACCAACGCTCACTTGTTGCTCAACTGACACTTTACTGTGGGTTTCTTGGTATTCACTGGTGACTTGAGTGAACATTTCCACAGCACCACCAACAACGATCGATGAAATATAATGGGTACCAAATGTTAATATAAGCTGATTATAATACATTTGTTGAGTGTCTGTTGTTGGATTAGCAATCAGTTTTGATAAACTACGATTGAATATTGGATCGAACCTAAAGATGAAGCAGATTCGATGACATGAATTCAAACTTTAAACACCTACGCTAATATATAGGTTGGCGCCAACTGAACCGAAAACATTCCCCACCAATCTGTTGACATTCCAATAGCTGTTTGTTTTTTACTGATGGTTTGATATGCTTCCTTCAACGTTTTATGATAACCAAGTGCTATGTTTGCTGGTCCCACAGGTATTGCAATTTCAAATGAATAAGAATGAAAATAACTGAAAACGAAGACAACAGTTTTAGGTACTTGATTCTTAACAAATAGTTTTCAGTTACCTTCGTAAAAATTCTCGATATGTATATGAAACAGATTCAACACTAACACGATTTCTCATATTGATATTGGTAACCTGAACGAGACTTGGTGTTTTGAACGATTGAGTTCTATTTGCTGTTTTCAATATATATTCCTCTCCATCAAGTTGACGTAGATCAAACAGTCGAAATTTTGAGCGATCAGATGATGAAGTGTCTTCGTTGGTACCAATCATCTTGAGCGCATCAAAACCAGATATTAGATAATCTAAACCGGGTAGATCCTTTGCTGTAATAGTTGCTATCAGTGCTAACCATAACATCTTCAACATCCTACCCATTCGTATATTCATATTAAAGATGTACACGAATAGAAATACAGCACTTACTTTTAATATACGAGAATCAATATATTATTTTATTTCAATGGATGGCGTTCATAGACTTTTAGCGAGAAATGAATTTATCTACCTATTTATAGCAAGCATTACTTCCGTGCTGTTTACACAGGTAACATATATTGAAAAGAAAAAAAAGAAGGAAGAAATAATAAGTAATTATATAAATATGCAAAACGCATTCGAACGATATTTTCTTTCTTTTTTTATTCAATCATACGTATACTTTTCGGTTAAGTAGTCAAATTCGTATTCATAATAACTACCGAGTCTATTAACGCAAAAGAAAAAGAACTGAGTCATAGAATAAACTATTTATAGTAAGATACAGTTCGCATTTATTTGTTGATTCGTTTTTTTGGAATGTTAAACCACCAAGGGATGTTTTTTTTCCTTGGAGTAATGATGATTAATATCCATGCTTTTCAATTCACTGAGTTAGCTGGATTAGACGAAGCAAAACTATCATCAAATCAAACCGAATATGTGGACGATCCCTTCAGTTTGATTAGTGCACGTGCCGCTTTATGTCCAATTGTTGGTTTTCATGGAATATTTTCTCCCGGTGATAATAACAATACGGTAACTGATAATACATATCAGATCAAGACAATTACCAGCTACACTACAGCTACCGAATAGTGTAGGTATGGCAATTGATGTAAGTACTGGTAATCTTTTGGTACCAGCCTTGCAATTATCTGCAGGCAATCAGCAATGCATTGATCAAGAATCAAAGCAAATATTTTTCATTCCTCCAGAAATAGCATTAACGGAATCATCATCGAATGATAGTTCTATTAACGTTCGTATATTTCGTACAGAAACAGAGTTGGTTGAAGAATGCTGAAGCTGGCGGATGGACTGGTGGTTAACTAGCACATGTTCAAAACATTTCTGACGTTTATAATAATTATTTTAAAGATAATCAGGCAACCGCCATAACCCAAGATTTAAAAACAATATATATAGTCGCAATCAAAGACGATAATAAGTCATTGAAATTAAATAAATATGCATAACGCGCAGTCGATGCTTTAACAGCTGAATATAACGAAGAGCTGTATCGAAATTTTATGGATGCTTGGGACACACATATTACTATATCAACGACAGTCGGTGACATGACCAAACAACAAATTATTTTTAAAAGTTGTTTATTAAGCACTACTAAAATCACTGATGAACTTTCTCAAGCGGTATTCGAAGAAAATCTAAAACAAGAATTATTAAAAAAAAACTCCGTGTCTTGAAAAATGTTATTATGCAAGACATAAGAAATTATGCATTATTAACGGTAAACAAATATTTACCTTGGTATGATTTAATATCAAACATAAAGGTAAAACAAAATTTAAAACAAGCAATAGAACAACGTATGAATGCAATGCGTGTCGTTCGTGAAGCACAAGCACGGCAGATTCAAGAAGAACGAAAAAATATGACATTCACACCGAAAGTAATTGTTCAGTCAGCTGATTATAAATGAACAACTGGAAATGATATAACATTACGAGATGTGAATATATGTTCTACTGAATTAACAAACGCGGAACTTTTAACTAAATATAATACAGGGACAATGATGAGTGCTTGTGCCTTAAAATTAACTGCTGAAAATGATAATCATATCATATTTGGAGCAAAAGAAGTACCCGTATGTTATGAACGACATAATCAAACAGATAGTTTTCGTATTGTTGCTCGAAGACAATATGGCAGGTTTTACAAGTAAGTGACTTCTTTCGATAAGAAAATAATACAAACATATAATGTATTTACTTATAGATCATGATGTTAATGGTGAATGGATTCAACCGAGTGGTTGTTTTAAATTAACAAATAAATGTGATAAATATGCTGGTACATGGTATGTCTATTTATGTTCTAGTTGTGATGTACAATGTCCATTGAATCAGTATGGAAAACCAAAATTTTTTAAATGTTCGTGTCCAGTTTATCCAGTAGATCCTGAAGCAAAATCCTATGGACCCTACTGTTAAGCTTTTCAAACATCAATATGTTTTAAATACATTCACTCTACATCTACAGCCACCTACATCCATAGCTTCGAAATAGGACGAAAATAGTGGGTTTCAGGATGATGTTTATTGATAGACCACAGTCAATACAAAAAAAATAAAAGAATCATTAAGAGATAAAATGACCGGATATCGAAACTTTTTCTTCACACTTATGTGATTCTTGATTAAAGTAAAATCTTGGAACTGGGTATTGTGCCACAACAGGTTAGATTTTCCTTAGTATCGTGTTGTTGGAGATAACATAACTGATTCATACGATGGGGGAGGTTCTTCCTCATGAATGGCCCACGCTGTGGGTATTGCATTTGTGTAAGGAACGTGAATTACATTCGCTCTTCTTGCGTTTCTGTCGATATCTACCATGGGCAGTTGCTGTGCTAGTGCAACTCTATTACGCGCTGATAAAATGGCTCGTCGGTTGATAATGTTCTTTCGCTTGTGTCGATACACATAAAAACCACAAATACTTACAAACAATGCAACGGAACTCCCTCTTTTTTTGTCGGTATCGGTTAGACGTGTTTTTACTGCTACTGCCTCTCCTCTCTCTACTTATCTCTGTACGTGTTTTTCTTGCTCGGTTCTCGGCGCAAGAATCACGGCTGAATTAAACAATCACTGTGTGGAGACGATGTCTCGCGCAGAGATTCAATCATCAAATGATGAACAAATGCAAAACGATATGCTCGGATGTCAAGATAACGGTCAAAGATACACCACGGTGAATAATATTCCTCTTCGCACATCTAATGAGATGTCGCATCAGCAACTTCTGGATTACTACAATGCCACAGCACATCTCATTAATTTCAACTATGGACAACCAGTAGTACAGGGTCAACAATGGGTAAACGGTAGTACTGGTCAACAACCTCTCTCTGTTCGTCCGCTTATGGCGCAGAATCAACGAGTCTCTTTACAAACACAACACATGATTTCGTCTACAAATATGCCTTCTGCTCATCAACAAGTTGCCACTGAATACTTTACATCGAAAGAAAAACAGATAGCATCGCCGATAACATTCCATCCATCCGTTTGTATGCCTCCTGCTGTACCACTCGCGATGACTAATCCAACAAGCACGTCCACGCCGTCGAAGCGTGGCCATGGTGATGTCAGCAGTAATTCTGAGTCACAAACGTATTATCACCATCAACAACGTCGAACGCGTGTTTTTAACTCGAACAATGTTCCAATGAAACGTCTGCGTGGGAATCCACAGCATGGAAACGGTGTTCCGACACAATCAAACCACAATCTGCTAGGACAGTGGAAACAAGCAGGCACTGCCGTTGCCGGTATTCAGAATCGGAATAATCAGCAGCAGTCATTTTCTGTTGCCGCACAAAGGTTCGCCACATCGCGATTTCCGTTCTCTCCCTTCTCGATTATTTTCCAACAGGAAGTACGTGAGAAATCAGTGGTGGATGATCTTATTACACATGCATCGAAAGCCTTTAGTTTCGAACTAAAAACTGTTGCATACCGACGTGCTCGTGCTGAAAATAATGATTGCCGTGTTCTAGTTTTTGTTGAAAACACCGAATCGTTTGCCTTCCTATACGATAAAAGTCACTGGCCACCAACACTTGCTGAACGGATGTATACAACGAAATCACCATCAATCCCTCCTCAACTATCTCTCGTTCTGCCGTCGGTCTCACTCCAAATCGATTGGCAAGAATTCGTGGAAGAAATTAAAGAAAAATACGTGGATATCGTAAACGTGATCCGGTTTAAGAACAAAGCTCAGATTCCGGTGCGCGCGGTTAAACTGGAATTCTCTTCACCCGATGCGCGAAATGCCGTATTTAAAGAAGGTGAAGTGTCATTGTTGCACATGAAATACAAAGTCGTCGAATATTATGCTCTCGCTAATGTGTTAATCTGCTCTAATTGCCACGGTATCGGTCATTTTCGTAACAACTGTCCGCAGTCGGGACAAGCCACGTGTAAAGTATGCGGCGACAAATGTGCTGACCTGAAAGCGCATGACTGCTCCGGAGTAGCAAAATGTATCCATTGTGGAGGCGAACACAACTCGAATGACGCGAAATGCTCGGTGGTAAAAGACTATCGTGCTGCTCTCACCCGCAATCTTCTGAGGAACGTTGTCCAAAACTCGGATCCTGTTGACTTCCGGCCACCGCAATCGAATAGGGATCCTCAAACCCCATACACCACTGATGAACAATTGGGATTGTCGAATCTTAACGATATTATATCGAAGAAACTGGATTGTATCATCGCGAAAGTTGAAGAAGAATCGAAAAGAACGCGCGAAACCGTAGAAGAGTTCAAAGTAGAAATGAAAGGAAGAGTGGTCGTTCTCGAACAAAAGGTGGAGAGTCTTCAAAAGGAATTCAACGATTATTCTAAGAGTGTCAACACACGATTATTGAATATCTGCACGGCGATGCTTGATCCGGCAGGTACGCAAGGCGTTAGGTGGAAATCGTACTGGCAAGACCAATTGGAAATATTGTCGAAGCCCACTGTCACTGCCACGCCCTCATCGAAATAATGTTAAGCTCAACTACCATTAGCAACATATCAAACACTACAACAACTCGCTTTCTCGATCTCTCTCGAAAGGTCCTCTCGGCTCATGAATATACGCTTCTCACTCAAATACTTTCGGAATGGCATTCGTCGCCCACATTTAATCAACTTCGCTCTGGCTGGATGCCGTTCAAAAAATCCACCTCACAGTCTTCTTTCGCTTTCATAAACACTCTTTGCTTCAATGTGCGTGGTCTCGATCTCAGATGGGGAGAAGTATGTCTCCTCTCTACTTCTCATCAGTTCGATGTCTTGGTGTTGGGGGAAGTCGGTCGCGTAGACCTGTCACTGATCGGCGCCTCATTTCCAAACTACCGTTACTTTCACCAGAAGGGTGAGAACACTCACGGGGGAATTCTCGTGCTTATTCGCACCAACATCCATGCATCGAGAGTGTCGTGTCCGTTGGCCAATGTCTGTGTGATCGACTTACATTTAGAAGAATCTATCAGAATCGTGGCGCTCTATGCACCCGCAAGCAAATCGTGGAAATGGCCTGACCTGTCTTCATTTACCACCACTCGCTGTGTCCTCATGGGCGACTTCAATGTAGACCTGGAGAAAGATGGTGATAAAGCGGACAGTCTTCTCGAGTGGATGGACAGTCGCACGCTTGGACCGTATGTTCCAGATAAAAATACTTCACTGCGTTCAGACCGTACAATCGATTATGCTCTAGCAGCTGGTATAGATGTTACTATTCAAACTTACGAAGGTGAGACGACAAGTGACCATAAGCCGTTGTTCTGTACGTTAGCGTGTGATGGTAAAGAATCAAAAGAAGGATGCAGAACGTTGTGGGCGGTCTTCTCGTCTGTGCTCTCCTATACATTCGAATTTTGGGAGAAGCAATGGAGCTATGCAATGTATAACGAGACTTATGAAGAATTTAGTTCGTTTCTATCGCTACTCGCTGCGAGATGCACATCCTACTTTCCTTTGAAGAGAGCTAGGCCCGCGATTCCACCAGATCTACTCGCTCTTCTCTCAAGAAGTCGTGCGTTATCCTTCAAAGCAAGACGAAAAGGTGATCTGATACTTCGTCAAGAGGCACATCGACTCCGCAATTTGGCCCGCACCGAGCTGAAGCGATTCCGACAAGACCAACTGGCGAAACAGCTGAAAGAAAGGCACACGCCTGGGGAAACCTCGAGATGCTTCTGGAGTCATACGAAGAAACACTTTCGGGAGAAGTCGGCCTCTCTACGGGGCTTTTTATTACCAAATGGTGAATCATTGAAAGAACCATTGGCAATGGCTGAAGTAGCAGCTGATTACTACGAAAGTTTATTTGATGCGCCATCGGTTATGCGTCCTCATCCTTACGTTGATGCGCCTACTATTCAGTGGGACAACGCACATGATCAGATTCCGCCGGTGACATATCCTGAAGTATTAAAGATTCTAGCAACAAGGAAGAAAAAACGTTCGTGCGACATCCATGGACTCTCTGCATTTCTCCTCGAACAACTGCCTCGAAACTATTGGCATCTTATCGTCCCTCTTTATAATCATTCGTTTGCTACTGGATTTTTGCCGAAGAAGTTCAAAGAAGTATGCATGATTCTATTAGCAAAGAAAGATTCCATATGTGCCCCAAATCAGACGAGACCAATATCTCTTCTCGATTCATTCCTGAAAGTACAAGAAAGACTGTTTCTTAATAGATTTCGACAAGTATTAGTCGACAGAGGTATTCTACCTGATAACCAATCGGGCTTTCGTGCTGGTCACAGACTGCAAACACGAGTTCTCCTGCTGGTGGAACAAATATCCTCGTACATGTCCAACAGCTCACCAGTTGCCACCGTATTTGTTGATTTCAAATCAGCGTTTGACCAACTCTGGTTCGAAGGGTGTGTCGGCAAGTTAGCTCGTATGGGCATTCCGTTTTCGTATACGAAATGGATCGATGCGTGGTTAAAGGGACGGCGTGGTGTGGTAGAAATTGAAGGTAAACGCTCTCGATGGTTTGAAATTCATCGTGGTGGTCCTCAAGGATCTAGTTTTACTCCGACGCTCTTCATCACGTACCACAGCGATATGGCCGAGTTCCTACCGATGGCAATGTCTTTCTTTTTCGCCGATGATCTGGCTGCGGTAATAGCGGGACAAATTGGAATTCGATTTACGGATCAATGTGTCGACTTAGAGCGCAGACTACATTCATTTTTCGTGCAACTGGAGCTATACTCAGTACTTGCCGTACAGCCAATTAACTACTCGAAGACCCAAGCGATGTTTTCTGCTCGAGCGATCAACTACCCGAACCCAATGCCGGATCTCCGGTGTGGTGATCATACGATTGAATGGGTCTCCTCCTTCAAATACTTAGGATATTGGCTAACGACGAAACTTGGATGGGGAAATATCATCGGTCGGGCTTGCCTGCG